TTAATATAATTTTAAATATGATTTAATCTAATCAAATTTAGCTTTAAAATTTGATCAAATTATTTCTTAATAGACGAGAAGTGAAATGTGATAACTATTTTAGAACAAAGGAAGTACATTTTCGAAGAAATAATTAGTTATTACTGTTACATTTTTATCAATAAGTTAAATATGTAATTTAGGTAGAATTCTATTATAATCGCACTGGAGATATCAACTACACTAAATAAATTTTGTGCGATGAGCTCCATTAAAAAAGACATGTAAGAGTTTTAAATTTGGGATCCTCATTTAAATAAGAACTAATAAAGGTGCACTAAATTCCCCTTTTAATTTGTTTTAAAAAGAGTATTATCACAATATATGTAATTTCGATTTTGTCATTTTAGGTAAAAGGCCACGTAGCCTGAAGCAGGTAATTAAACATATAGTAGATGTCCTAATTTTTGGCTTTATAATAAGTAAGAAACTCAAGTATTCAGATAGAATGACATATCTCAAAGGTTATGTCAAAATCACCTAACAATTTGGTCAACAAAATGAATAGAATTCTTCAACTAATACTTTAAAATATCCAATCAAACAAGTGTAATTTAGGTTAGAAATTTTGCATATATATTGAATATTGATTTTGTAGGTGACTTAATTGTGGTTCGTTAATCCAACTTGATTTGGAATTTGTATATTTTAGGAAGCAAAGACAACTTTGTATTTTAATGCTTGAACAGAAAATTTTAATAGAAATTTTAAAAAAGAAAGGAAATTTTCCTAATTCTTCTAGATTATTTGAATTTTGTTTTTTGAAAATGCAAAATAAAATTCGTGTAGCCTTTATCTTCTATAAAACTCATTTTTATTGCTTTTATCGTTTTATAATTTTCATAAAATTTAGAAAGCTTCTAAATTAAAAGAAAAAAGATGTTGAATGTCACGATTCGATATACCGAATAACTATACGTATTTTTCAATTTCGGCCTAATGAACTTCACAAATTTGCTCTTTAAATTATGCTATTCATGAGCTAAAAGCAAATGTATCGTATGAACTAACTATAAGTTCTTTACCTTCTTTTTTTCTTTTTAGCTTTTTTGCTCTAATTCTAATTAATGTGAGAGTTGCTAGGTCTAACAATTAACACGCACCCCTTCTGTTACCTTTTTACGTATTTTTGACTATCTATTTATTATTATAGATGTTACATTGAAAAATTATTATATATTATACACTTTAATTTATACAATTATAACCTTTCGAAAAAATCATCTATCCTTTAATTATCAAAACTAGCCTAGTAATAGTACGTTATATAAAACAATCCTTTAACTTTTATGTAGTACAAAAGAACTAATTTAATTATTATTAGATTATTTAAAAGAAACTTTTACTATCATGTCTATAAATTAAATTAAATTTTAAATGAGTTTTTATTAAAATAATAGGATACCAAATACAGTGGTTCACCCACCAATTACATCCATGAAAAGTCAGAATCTGAATAGAAAAGGCACACACGAAAGAATCTTCATTAGCTTCATCTCATACTATTTTAATTTCTTGTACCTTCATCTTATCCCTATAAACCAACAACAAATACTATGTTATAAAAAAATAAATAAAATAATAACATTGAATTAAACTATAGAATAATAATTTCTTTTTTGATTTTACTATATATAAATCATTAACCAATATCCCTTACTTCTAATAATCCAACCGAAAAAACTAACCTTCATGTCCCCGTTTCCAAATTATTTGTATTTCACTTTTGCTCTGTTCCTTCTCCTCCTTTCGCTCCCATCTTTTCCCGCCAGAATATTACAACAGGATCCGTTGACGGAACTCGCCGCCGATATTCAAAACAACACGTGGCATGCTTTCGTTAAATTAATCGACGCCGGAAAAGGCAGTCAGGTCACCGGCATGTCGGAGCTGAAAAAATACTTCCAGCGATTCGGCTATATGCCAATTCCCGATCAAAATTTCACCGATTTTTTCGACGAGGACTTAGAGTCTGCAGTACTCAATTATCAGAAAAACCTCGGTTTACCAGTCACCGGAAAACTAGACGATGAAACGATGAGTGAAATTATGCTTCCGCGTTGCGGTATGAGCGATTTAGTTCATGATCACAGCTCGTTACATACTACGAAAAATTACGCTTACTTTTACGGAAGACCTAGGTGGATGAAAACATCTCCGATGATTTTATCTTACGCTTTTTCACCGAATTCGATGATCGATTACATCGACGCATCGGAAATTAGATCCGTTTTTCAACGAGCGTTTGCGCGGTGGTCTTCTGCGATTCCAGTGAATTTCACTGAAACAGAGGATTACTTCACAGCGGATATTAAAATCGGTTTCTACAGCGGCGATCACGGCGACGGAGAACCGTTTGACGGAGTGCTGGGAGTGTTAGCTCACGCTTTTTCGCCGGAGAACGGGAGGTTCCATTTAGACGCGGCGGAAACATGGGCCGTTGATTTCGATGAAGAAGGATCAAAAGTGGCTGTGGATTTAGAATCAGTAGCGACCCATGAGATTGGGCATGTACTTGGGCTTGCTCATTCATCGGTAAAAGATGCAGTAATGTACCCAAGTTTAAGCCCAAGAACGAAGAAAAGGGATTTGAAGCTTGATGACGTGGAAGGGGTCCAAGCTTTATATGGGTCAAACCCGAATTTTAAGTACACGTCATCATTGGAACATGACACGTCATCATCAAATAGAAGAAGAAGAACAACATCAAAGTGGACCACTTTTTTGGGAATGGTGGTTTTGATATTTTCCTTGTGTTTATGATTTGATTGCTTATATTTTTTTTTATTTTTTTTTGGATGGATGTATTTAAAAGATAGTGATGGATAAAGATGATGTTATTGTAAAGATATTTCACACACACAAAAAAAGTAAAAGAACATTCTTTAACAATGTTTTAAAGGTTCTATTGATATATTCTTTGTGAATCATTCTTGTTGGGTTGAACTATACAAAGGGAGATAAAAGAGTCAAAGAAGAATTGTAAGTTTGGTTACCTTTGTGACTTATTATGCCAAGATAGGCGCAGAGACAATAACTTGTATGTGGTTCAGTTAATAAATTTATTAAATATGTAAAAATATTAAATTTAGAGTTCAATTTTATTTTTAAATCGTTCGAAACTCATGAAATAAAAATTTTAATTTCGCCTCTTGGTTTTGAACTTATTCGTTTTTATTTTACTTTTTTAACAGAGTGAAAAACAAAAAAAGACAAGCTAAAAGCTAATGGACTTTTTCTATATTTAATGGTTTATTAATAAAGATATGACAATTTTTTATTAAATGATAAATATTTATTCGTGCACAATATATATATCAAATTGAGCCATTTAAACTTAGTGGTTAAAAATTATAGTAAGAATATGTTACTTAATCGTATGTGTATGATAAAATAAAAGTTTTGTATTTATTAATTTGATATAAATATCACGAACATATGAGTTTTTATCATTTTTGTGCATTGTGCAATGATTAATTTCTTTATTGTTTTTAATAAGAATTGGTAATTGCAAGATCAAGGCTGCGCTATTTTGAAAGTAGTTAGGAAAAAAGAATTCAATTTCAAAGTGAGCTATCTGAATTTTCATCATTAATTAAGTAGTAATTGATTAATTATTTATATAGATAAGGCATGAATTATACTTAAAATAAATCATAGAAAAAGACGTATTACGAATTAGTTAATTAGAATATTTGAAATTGACAAATTTTATAATACAGACAGTTTAGAAATTCAAATACATTATATAGCTATCTATATCATACTAATACTATTTAAAGAAGAGACACTAAAAAATATTTTTGATTATTCGAAATACTATAGAATAATGAAAGGAAGATGATGCTAGAAAAGTAAGAAGTAAAACTCCAAAATCATATAATATTGTGTGTTGACATAACTGGTCTAACTTGTAAAGTGTAAACATATGCATTTTAGCGTGGAGAAAAAGAAGAAGGTCATAGTTATTCATTTCGTTTTAATTTGTTTGTATTAATATTATGTGATCTAAAAAATATGATAGTTATAACCACGTAATATATTTTAGACCAAAAAATTAAATTATATCATTTTAATACATTTCACATATTTTTAATTTAAAATCACAAATTTCAAAATTTTTATTAATTTTGTTAATCTCACATAAAATCATAACAAATCAAAACAAGAGAATATTAATATTCTTTTTAATGTTTTGAGTCAAGAAGATGTAGATGAAGTTATACTGCTAGTTTGATATGAAAAATAAGAATAATCTCGATAAAATTTAGATATCTTGTTTGATTAATATACTTGAGATAACTTATCCCATAATTTATAGCATAGTGGAACAAGTTATCTATATACATGGATAATTAATATTGAAATAACTACTTTCCAATCAAACGACCCCTTATTTTTAATAGTTGGACTTGTTTTATTTATAGCTTCTTCTTTTTTTCCTTGGAGCATTCGAAATTCATAAGAATCGCACAACCATAATAGAAATTTGACATACTTATAACAAAATACTTACACGATAGATATTTGGTCTAGATTTTGATGTTGATTTTCCATAGTATTGAAATTGTCTATTGAAAAAAATTAATTCATTTTATTCAATTTAGTGGTTAACCTAACACGAAATTTCAAATAAAGAAAAGAATTAAAATTTGTATTTGATTAAGAGTGAAGAATCCTAAAGTTTTAGGTTCAGATTTTAATGGAAATGAAACAATATATTGTGTAATTTTTTCTCATAGTTTTAAATCTAGATAAAAGAGTTATATCGAAGTGATAATGAAAAATAACATATATTTTACAAATTAATTAGTCGAGATAAGCAAACACTCAAATCATATTAAAATTTAATTAAGATGTTTACGAGTGACGAATTAACACGAACGTTAAAAGTTAGAAGGAAAAAAAAAAGAAAGAAAGGATTAAAGTTTACATCTGATAAAACATGTGTGCCAAATATGTAATTACGAAACGACGAATTTGGACAAAGGGCTTTGAGCTAAAACCCTAAACCCAATCAACACTGTATCCACCATAGCTCCGAGATATTCACCCAAAACTCTCCGTACAATGGCTTCAAGGTGTAGCAGAATTATCAGCAAGGCTTCGCTTTCTTCTATCAGATCCGCCATGAAGCTCAATTCTCAATCAGCTTCTTCTGCGACGTCGTTCTCCAGTTTCTCTGCTTCAACCAGATCTGCTTCGTCTCCTCTCCGCCGGTTATCCTTTTCAAGGTACTTTCAGCTACAGTTAATTACAGAATATAGCCGATTCATATTCCGGATATAGCAAAATTACGTTTGCATCATGTTAGTTGATTGATTGAACATTTGTGCGGTTACGTTTGTTAATTTTATGTTATCCTAGTGTTTTTTGGTATATTTATGTTATTAATTTTTGCAGAATTCCGTCGGAGCTGGGAGGAGTGCAGTCAATGTTGCCACTACACAATGCAGTTGCTACGGCGAGGATGACGTCATGCCTGAGCTCAACATCGAGGAGTTGCAGAGCTCTTTCACAGGGTACACTCTGCTGCACCTCTCCAGACCTCTAGCATGTTCATTTATTACTACCACAAAATAAAAAAGAAGTATGTGCTTGTTCTTACTGTTTGTCCATGGTTGTTAAATGTGAATTTTTCTTTTTGTTATGATATCTGTTTATGTGGATGTTATTATTGGAGATTCAAATCCAAGCGTTTATCGGGAGCTTTAAAAATGCTTAAATTACTAATGATTGCTAATATCCAAAGGAAAGGAAATTCAATATGAGAGACATTTCAATTTTCATAGAATTCAAAAAATTACTAAAACACTTGCAATCAAAATGAGTTTTCTTATCAATACGTCTTCTTGCTGGAGCTGATGGTACGTTGAACTACCTAAGAAGGGCAAACCAGAATGGTCATTACTTTGAATATGCGAAACTATATGACAACAATTACTCGTACCAATCAGAAGTTGAGTTAGTGTTGCAAAGTCTTGAATTGGCTTGATGACATTCTCAAACTTCTTTTTACTGAAACATATACAATGATTTCATCATATTTGTGAAAATTGTTTAACATATTTACCTTATCTGGTGCTCTTCTCCTTCTCCTATTTTAATGTATTAGTGTTATTAGGAAATTAGCTCTATCTATACCTTGAACCAGCTTCATGTTCTTTGAAAAATATTTTTAGGTATGGTGCATCTGTTTCTTGCACTCTCTGTTAAAAATTGGACATATTTATTCGAACAGGGGCAGAAAAGCTCTTGTGGAATGACTTTCCTCCTCCCTTTCATCAGTAAACTATGGGGGAGAGTGTCTTCTATTGAGTAGCAATTGTAGAGGAGTATGCCTATCATCCTTGACTTACTAGCTCCTTCTAGACTTCCATATAAGATGGGGTAGACAAGTTATGATATAACTTGTTTCACTTTCACAGGGTTTATTATAATTTGTAGTGACTAGCAATAGCAATAGGTTCACCCAATAGTGTTCTATCATCTCAATTGTACTATAGAAAACGAAGGACAAATCTGAAAGAATATTTCTTATATCATGAATGAAAAACCAATGAAGTAAAATTGAGATGGTGAACTCTCTTGTCTCTGTACATCTAAGAACCTAACATATGGTTGTGCAGTTGTGGTCTTACCTTGTTGAATAACTTAGAAGTCAGAACTAGCAAGTAGCAACTAACAGGGATGAAACCAACCATTATTAGTTGTGAAATTGGATATTCATTTATGACTTTGAAAATCATGTCACTAGTCTATTTTAAAAACAAAGGAAAAGTCAATTTGGGTGAAACATAATAATAATGGTCTGTATTTACCGTTAAAACACCTGTTTTGTTGTTTGATTTTTCTTGAACTCCCGATACTTTTGGTTCTCTCTTCTGGGGGAGTGTGGTGTTGGTTGACTTGTTGTAAAGGGTATGTAGTCGGATTCTTTGAAAACCAAGGCTTATGCTGATGAACCATTTAAGCTCTAAAGCCTACTTGGGTTCTTGGGCTAGTAGTCTTTTTACTCCCCTGAAGCAATTGCAGTCCAAGTTGGTTTGGGCCGAAACCTTCCACTCCTAAACCAGATATAAATCTTCTCATGCTTGTTCTTTTCTATGTTCACTAATATATTTACCTAAACTTTGCTTATAAAAGTATGAATATCCTGAACACCTTCCCTAGTAACCAAAAATGGACATATATTTTGAGGTGGAAGGTTTTGATCAGCTTATCTGACTGGAATATTTGGTTCCTGCAGGCACATGAGTTTCCAAAAGCATGAAAGAAATATACTGGAATATGACAGGCCTTCCTATTTTGCTTAAGTGCGTTCCTATCCTAGCACCAACTTTATCAGCAGTCTTAAGAAAACTATTAAATGAGTAGGGTAGAAGTGAATTCTGTCTAGGGCTGCAATTTATCTTTTTGCAACCTTCACATGCAATTATTGAGTGTAAAAACTTTAATTAAAAGCTTTCTGAATGAATAAAGTTTTATTATCTTGTCGTTGATTATGCCATTTTACCTATCTCATAGTAGCACTTTGGGAATTTTGGAAAAATGTGTTTCTGCATCTTACCATTTTTAAGAAGGTTCATTTGATTGGTAATGTTCTTATAATATGTTTTGGAGAGCTCCTTGCGTTCAAGTGATTCCAAAGATTGAGATTTACTCTGCAAACTGAAAGCTCATAATCCCTTAATGATCAAATTATAATATTAATAATAATTGAAAGCTCATAACCACTGAAATTCATCTGTTAGTTCAGTTGAATGATTTTCCCAAGCTTAAAATGTTCTGGAGGCTCTGTGTGGTAGTTAGAGTGAGGGAGATTTTGTAAAAGCTGTTTCAGTCTAGTGACAAGACTATTAAATGTTATTATGAACCATGTTGTTGTAGGCTACTTCTAGGGTAAAAGAATGATGGGTTCAACAATACTTAGTGAAGTAAATGATTTTCTTCATAGAGCCAACCCCAACTTGCCCTGGAGTTCTTTCATACTCTCATCCACAATTTCTCTTTATGTGATTCGCACTTCTCTTTTATTTGCCGGAGAAGGTTTGCATGGACTTTTAGGTCATAATTATTCCATGTCTGGCCACGATCTGTGTATATAAGCACTTCTAAGTCAATGTCAGCATTAGAAATGCTCTCAAGAATTATAGCAATATCTTATCTATGAAAATGATCCTGTCGTTCTTTATGAAACCCAAAATATAGGTCTATAATGTAATCTGTCACTGGTCTAGTTTTGTCTTTGAGAGTCCTGCTATGACTGTTAGGTGCAGGTGGAGTCTATTAGGAGAGACTACAAGGAGCAGATTTAATGCCTTGGTGATTGATCTTTAGTAACTTCTATGCATTTTTCTTATAAAAAAAGTAATTTTTAACAACTTCCATGGTTTTGATTTTAAATCATATTATCTACTTATTACATATAGTAGCAGGTAAATTGGAATCTCATTGAATTTGATGTTTGATTAAAGTGGTTAGAACGGAATAGGTAGATTTGTTTTTCAAGTTGTGTAGGACGAAGTATCAGCTAAGAGGCGACCATTTTTTGACTGTTACCTCCGGGGTTCCGCTGAAAAGAAAAAAGAAAAGTCCTACAGGAGTCTGTCATAAACTAATTGTCTGACTTCAGTTGCTTTTATGTTAAGCTATTATGCCCCTATTTGACAAAGCCTATTTTGGTAACAAGAATTTTCATTTTCCCAGATGATACTGAAGGAACGTGAAATTTTTTGCTCTTCAAGAGGAGGTTGTATCTGCTTGAATTTAGCTACAAGATATTTTGCCTTGGCTTTAAACCATGTTTTCAGACATATCATCTGCTTATTGTAGAGAAACAGATGCATCAGAGATGAACCTACCCTTTTCTTTTTCAAATACTTGAATGCAAAATTGTCTTGTATGTAACACTTAGTTTATATCCCCCTTCTAGTGGCAATTGTATCTACAACAAAATGTATTTGGTTAATTTAAGGAATCTAACCTAACTTAGTTTTGATCTTTGAATTTGTATTTGGCCTCTTCATATTTCTCCTGATACGAGTCTTTTGTTTGTGGCAATAGAGCTGGGTCTATCAGTACCGAGGTGACTTTGTTAGCAGATTGTTAGAGAAAGCTGTCAACTCTTTGATGGAAATGCAAGATTTTGTCGTAGGCAAGGCAGTTCTGTTTAATGACTCAAACTTTATAAGGGCGGTAACAATATTTGATTGTATTGAACTGAGTTCTGTTTCCTTGATTACTAGGAAATTTACTATGGAATAATTCTTGCTTCCTTCGTTTTTTGGGCCGATTTTCATACTGAAAATGGATGAGGTTCATTTGTATAACAAAGATATCTTGTTTTTCCATAATTGTTTTATGTTTTCCATCAGTTTGTTGTGCTGAGAAAAAAAAAGCTTTGGCTTTGAACATTGCTTTGTTTTTGTTAGTGTGAAGATGCCAACTACAATGAATAAATGCTTATTGGGCATAAGGGCATTGCTATAATCTTTTTATCATTTTACAGATGTAACTGTATTTGAGTTTTCCACTTCAATCCAACTCCGACCAGCTTCTTTTTTCACTCTTTTCTCCTTCATCTTCTCCCTCATGTCACCAACATCGATCCACTTCTTATGCAATGCATACATGTTAGACATTAGTACATAAACAAACTCGTTATCGCCTTCCAATTCTATCACCTTTGCAGCTGCCACTTCTGCTATTTCTGTATTCCCACAAGTGACAGAAGCACCCAGTATTGCCTTCCACACTAATCCACAGTTTTCAAATCTGAGTTCATATATCATTTTCTCTGCCTTACTCACGTCCCCTTCTTGCCCCATGAGCTTAATCATTGAAGAGCAGTGTTCCGGCATTGGGCTGATACCATAATCGTTGACCATTAGTTCGAAATAGTCTTTTGCAGCTTCACAAGACATTCTATTATGCCAACATGCAGCCAAGACGTTCACGAATGTAATACCATCAGGTTGTAACTCTTTCACTGATTTCAACTGCTCAAACAACCGCATAACTTCATCTGAACTACCATTATGAGCATATCCAGATATAATCGTGTTCCAAGTTATCAGATTCTTGACAGGGAGCCATCCAAACAGAATGTCAGCTTCATTCATTTGCCCACATTTAGAATACATGTCAACGAGAGCAGTTCCAACAACAACTGTTTCGTTCACACCATACTTCACTGTGCAACAATGGATCAACTTCCCCCAAGTTATAGCTGCTATATTGGCAATGCCACTCAATATACTTGAAAAAGTGAATTGATCCATCAGAACATTACCTACATGCATGTTTTGAAAAAACAGCAGAGCTTCTTCTGCTCTGCCTCGGTTAACATACCCTGTTATTATCGAATTCCATGAAGATGAATTCGGGGTTGGCATTCTTGATAACATATCAACAGCATCTTCTATGTTACCAAACTGTGCCACGCCACTAATTACCTCGTTGTATGACACCGTATCAGGTTCAGGCATTTGACGCAAGAAATCAAATGCCTGATCAAGCCTCTTGTTTCTTGTATTTGCTGCAATGACTGAGTTCCAAGAAATCGTATCTTTCTCCATCATACTATTAAACACCCTCGTCGATTCTTCTACAGAGCTACATTTTCCATACATGTCAATCAAAGAATTGGAGACCACAATGCTGCACTCCACACCAAATTTCACAATCTTGGAATGTATCAATTTCCCTAGCTGTACTAAACCAATTGATCCACAAGCTGATAAAACAGCTGTAAAAGAGTACGAATCGGAACAAAGCTCCGATCTTTCCAGCTGAATAAACAAGTTGAGAGCAGCAGTGAACTTCCCAGAACGAACATAACCCGATATCAACGTATTCCAAGTAACAACATTTGGTTCAGTCATTTCGTCGAACAGTTGTTGTGCATTAACCAAAAGCTGAAATTTGACATAGAAATTGACCAACGCTGTAGCAACAAAGACATTGCTGACATACCCAGATTTTAAAATGCAGCAATGAAGCTGCTCACCATGAGAAAACCAACCAAGATTGGTACATGAACGGATCAAATTAACCAGAGAATAAGCACTAGGGTTCGAACCAGAATTCAAGATTTGAAAATACTTAAACAGGGCGATTTCAGAACTAATTTCAGTTTGTGCCTGATTGGAAATAAAAATGATTTTTGAATTGAATTCATCTTCTTGATGGGGTTTTATAGTGCTGCTGAAGTACTTAGAGAAGAAACAATTTTGCTGCCTTTTGCTTAGTAGCTGCACAGAGCATTTCTTGACTAGTTCAAAGTTGATGAATTTTCGGCATAGCTTTGCATGCATAACATTTTGTTTATGAAATCTTGACATGTAATGATTCAAGAAAATTTTGACCTTATTCTATTTAGACATGTAATATAGATATTATCAAAATTCTCTATTTAGACATTCGAATTAAGTCTCGTTTCAATTGAACGCATAATACCAATATTATTCTTAATGAAATTCATAAGTAGAGTGTGAGAAGAATATAATAATACTTACATTCCCTCTACCTTGTGGAGGTAGTCGGAAAACCCTATGCTCGAGTAGAACAAATCAAAGTTGAAATGGGGAAAAAATGATGGAATTTTTTTTAGCAACTAGTCAAAAGAAACAATAATAACGACAACAACGTAATGTGATAACTGAAGCACAACAATCACATATGATAAAAGAAATCAAAAGCAATACATTACAAGAATAGGATTATTACTACGACATACAACTCTCCTATTCTAATTTTGATCTCTTAGCTGTGTCATGTCTTGTCTAATTACTTCACCCCAATACTTCATCTGTCTACCTTTAACTTGACCTTTTCTCATATCTACTATATGTCTTATGTCTATATCCAACCTCTTGCATCTCCTCAATGGACCTTTGCACTTCTCATCTCCACATCGAAACCATCTCAACCTCGTTTCCTGCGTCGTATCCACCATGGTGCAACTCCCTTCTAATAAAGTATTGATGCTTTCAGATCAGATTTTGAAATTTTTTGTGCGTGTATTTATATTGGTCTATTAGATAGTTAAGTTAATCACATAAAATATATTTTAGCTTTTTTAATTATACACAATCACCTCAATAAGTCGTAAAATTTTAGACATTAAAGATGAGACATATACTTAAAGTAGACGATATACTTTATGCGGTTAACTTTAACTATTTAATAAACAAATGAACACTTGCGCAATCATTTTCAAAAATTTGAATCTAATGTGCCAAATTGAAATATTTTACTAGGAGTTAAGGTGTTCAATTGATATATAAAATTTAGTTGAGTGTCTAAATAAGATATCTACAAATTTAAAAAGTTGACCAAAATAAGACAATCCTTGAAAAACAGTAAATGGTTCTTACGATTTTTGAGATATCAATAGCCAAAGGATTAAGCTAACGATAAACACCACAAATATATGAAGGGAAATTAAATATAGCAAGTACTAAATATGGTTTTTAAAAAAAAAGGTCATTATAAAATATTATTATTAATAATTAAATGTCACAACAATCTTGACAGGTAGATGATCATACGAAGAATATTTGTTGTGTTTCTTCTTTGAATGTTAGCTGTAGAAAAAAAGAAAAGCATAAACTTTTATTTATATTTTTCATCCACGCATGCATGAAAAGTTACAAAAATAAAGAAAGACAAATTAAATCAAAGGAATATCGAAATTTCTTCGTGAATAAAGATAAAGAAATGGATATTAAAATTTCTCTGTGAGAAAACACAAAGAAGGACAAATTAAGCCAGAAAGGGATATCGAAATTTATGTTGAACAAACACAAAGAAGGACAAATTAAGCCAGAAAGGGATATCGAAATTTATGTCGAACAAACACAAAGAAGGACAAAATAAGCCAGAAAGAGATATCGAAATTTATGTTGAACAAACACAAAGAAGGACAAAATAAGCCAGAAAGGGATATCGAAATTCATGTTGAACAAACACAAAGAAGGGCAAAATAAGCTAGAAAGGGATATTGAAATTTATGTTGAACAAACACAAAGAAGGACAAATTAAGCTAGAGACGAGACGGACATAGAAATTTCTTCTTTGTTACCAAATAGAAAACATGATTATGGGATCTTCAAGTAGAAAAAGGGAAATTATAGAAGATTTGTCAATAATAGGAGGATTAATAGGGGTACAATTCATGTATGCAGGAAATTCAGTGGTTTCAAGTTATCTTATGTCATTAGGTTTCAAACCTTCATCTTTAATTATCTTGTCTTCATTGGCTACTTTTCTCATCCTTTGTCCATTTTCTTTCATGTTTGAAAGGTACTAATTATATCTTTTTTATTTCATTAATTATCATATTAATATATTAATTAGTTTTTGCTAATGTTTGCATATTAATGTTGATTACAGGAGTCAATGGCCCAGGCAGATGAGTTTAAAATTATTGATTCAACTATTTCTAATTTCATTTGGAGGGCAAGTCATTTTTTCTTCTTTTCCTCCTCTTTTTTTTTCATTTGTATCTAATGGAATTAAAGTTAGTTAAATACTTTAATTCGAAATTAGCTTAATTTTACCCTCCGTTATGCTTTAAGTTAGAGCTTTGCTAGGGTGAAGGACCAAACAAAGTATAACGAGGTAAAAATTAGGTGTATTTGATCTATATTTGCTTTGACTCTTCAAAAATGATTTCTGTTGTGTGTCCATCTTTTGGATCATTATGAGTGCATTTTTGGTGGATTAACGTCATTTTTAGAGAGTCTGAATAACATAGTGATTTGAACCTTTTTGTCGTATCGTTATTTGTATTTCAGGGTCACATTATTCCAATCTTTATTCATGGAGGGAATCAAATTTACTTCACCTTCAATGGCAACAGCTATGCCAAATCTTGCACCAGGACTCATCTTTCTCATTGCTTGGGCTTTTGGGTATTTCATCGTTCACGAATAACTTTCTGTTGTTAAACAACAAAAATCTATAGCTAATTTTACAACATATGGTCAAAAAATCTTGTTACCTACGGGCTAGAACCACGAGAATTTATATAGCTGACCTCAATTTACTTGAAATTTACCCGTTTATTGTTTAGTCTCAATTTTATTTTTTTATGTGCAGATTAGAGAAAGTGGAGCTAAGATGCAAATACAGCAGAGCTAAAATTGCAGGAACATTAATGTGTGTAACAGGGGCAATACTCATGAGCCTAATGCAAAATACAACAAATGCTGAAATAGATTTGCCATCTTCACCTCCTCATGACAAATACAATCTTTTCGATTCGGAAAAGATCAAAGGTTCATTGTATCTCATGGCAGCTATACTCGTATTATCGAGTAATATAGTCTTACAGGTATACACACGAGTATTAAAAAAAAATTGAAACGATACAGAGAAGACTAACATGAAATTCACTAATTCAAAATTTTGAATTTGCAGGCAGCAACATTAGGTGATTTTCCAGCACCAATCTCTTTATGTGCTATAACATCACTTATAGGCATGTTATTGACTGGATTTGTACAATTAATTCAACACGGATCGATGGAAATTGGATTGCCCCTCTTAAGTATTCGCGACTTAATTGGCTACTCGTTATTGGTAATTCATCCATCCTTCATCAAATAATAAGTCAGGCAATTCGTCTGTATGACGAATTGCCTGACTTTTAAGATATTTTATCAATCGATTTATTTTGTGTGGTTTATAATAGGCAGGTATTGTAAGTGGAGCATGTGTAAGTTTCAATAATTGGGCAATGAAGAAAAGAGGGCCAGTTTTGGTCTCTGTTTTTAGTCCTGTTGGGACTTTGTTAACTGTAGTTCTTTCAGCTGTCACTTTAAGAGACACAATTACTACAGGAAGGTATATATCGCTAAACTAAAGAGATAATACACAAGTATCCCTCAATCTATGCTCAAAATTTTAGAGACACACTTATACTATACAAAGATCCTATTACCTCTGAATTTATTTTATTAATAATATCCTATTCCTTTTCGACTTACGTGACATTATCTTGTGGGCCCAACACTGATTGATTTTTTCTTTCAAACTAGTGCAACATAGACCTAAAAGGGGTAGGAAATTACTGATAAAATAAGTTCAGAGGGTAATAGGACCTTAGTACAGTATAAGTGTGTCTCTGCGATTTCGGGTTTAGGATGAGGGTACTTGTGCATTTTTCCTTATTCTTTGTTTTTTCTCTTATCAAATTTATTTTTTTTTAAAACGATTGTATTTTTTTCCGATCTGCAGCCTTGCTGGTATGTTTCTGATGTTTACGGGTCTATATTTCGTGCTATGGGCGAAGAGGAAAGAGGGTTTTCTAAATAATAACATGACGAATTCATCATCAGAAAGTGAGTACGATGTGGAGAAGCCTCTTTTAAATTGAATTTCTTTCTTTTTTATTCATTGTATTATGTAAGATTAATTAGTCTGTATATATCTATATATATACCCAATTAGAAACAATGTTAGAGAAAGAGCAAGTGAGTTTAGTTGTTTGTATAGAAAGTTTTATGATAGTTGAAGTTTGAAATATATTGCAAGTTCAAATCCTAGTAATGTCTTTTATTTTTGCAGTAGCACGACGGAATATAGCCAATCCTAACTTGTATGGGACCGAGGTGTAGTTATTGATATAGTAAGCATGGCGGAATGTGCATTGTCACCATTATTGTTGATGTATCTCTGTTCTTGTAAACAAATGATTTTATTTATTTTTTGGAAAAACTTGGAGATTTATTTATATGCATTTTTATATATATATAAATAGCCTCTAGGAAATTTAGGTCACATTTTTGTTCTTCCTTTTTTGGACGTCAGAGAATTCTCATTCAGTATATAATTCGACATTAAAACAGACACTTTTTGAGTTCTAAACATGAAGTGAACTTTCTCTAAAAACATAGGCCAAAAGGAACAATGGACAAACTATAACTAGCATTCCTTAACCTAGTCCTCCGCGCTAACTCTCTGTTTATCCAAAATAATGTTATACCAAATTTAAAGGTAATTCGCCCAAATGGACTAACTATAATTCCTTTTATTTCTTCTCATGTATATATATCTCTTTCTTCCTCATGTTTTTAAAAAATATCCATCTTAGTGTTAGAACCGTTTTTAGAATATATTTTATATATATAGTACCAACTAATCATAGCTTCAATACTATGATTAATAATTCTCTAATTTAGATTTTGTCATTAAGGCTAGCTATACCAACAAAGAAAATAAATTCTAGTGTTATCACTATAACTTAAAATTTAATGATATTCGATCCATGAGAGTCTCCGACACAATAGATGTGAAATTCAATTTTTTGTTTTCCCTTACCAGAATTTTTAATAGTATCTTATTTGTGAAAACGTTCTAAATTTTTAATCCTGATTTTTTTTTATCATTCAAACTCAAAATATTTAATTTGTGAAAACGTTCTAATTATGTGTATTATTTCTGTGGGTCATTGTTTTCAGTACTTAATATCATTAGAGAAGTCATTTGTCCTTATTTTAAATAAAAAACATTAATTTTAACCAATCAAGAGAAAATTTGAATATAAAAAAAATTGTTTTTCTCTCCATACCATACTCAATAACGTTTTTTTGTTGGTGTTGGTAATAGTAGTGTAAAGTTTAATTCACCAATATAACATGAATTATTTTATCGAGTATCTTGTTATTTTCCATCAATACAATTACGATGTTATAATTCTGTTCACCAACATTTAGACAAATAAATACATACAAAAATCACGCTTTAAAATTTGCAATTCTGCAATAAATTGAACGTCGATATTTTTATTTTCACTCACTTTATTCACCGATAAAAATCATGTTTTATATTCATTATTGAATAATTAATCATAATTACCTCTAAATGAGTAAAAATATTGATTTCCCCCCTACATGATACATACGTATATAGACTGTCACACTAGTAAAGTAGTCCACTATAACCTTACAAATTTCTTTATAAGTCCCATATTACGTAAATGTGTAATCTTGTGTAAGTAAATTTTTACTATAGAAACACTAACACGAAACAATAACCATACGAATTAGAAATAATCTCCCTACCACGTGAACAAAACGTTCTTACTTGTAACAAACACGTTTTATGTCTTAACTCTCATCCACATTCAATTAACATCAACTATAAACTAGGATAACTTCCCTCACTTTGCTACTGGCACTAACTAATAATTTTTTATATATATAACAACTCTCTTTTAGTACTCTTAGTGCAAAATGAGTGAAAATAGCACATAAGATCTCATGGAGTAGTAGTAATATAAACTATGGAGAAGAAATTAGTGAACAAAAAAATACGATGAATAATTTTAGAAGGGAAAAATTGGAGAGTCAAAAACACTCGTACAATCTACGTACTAGTTCCAATCGATTAATGTTAGAGAATAATCGATCAACAAGTGATCATGTAGATGTTGAGAAATCGGAATATTATTTTTTTGGTCATGATGTTAAGGAGAAACAACATTGTTCAAGAGAAGAAGAAGAAGATCTAGCGAATTGTTTAGTTATGTTATCGAACAAATCTTATGATTTGTGCGATAACAATAACAAGGAGGCCAAAAACAAGGCTAAAGAAGTGGAAAAGGGAATGTTTCAATGTAAAGGATGTAATAAAATTTTTAGTTCTCACCAAGCTTTAGGGGGACATAGAGCGAGTCATAAGAAAGTTAAAGGGTGTTATGCTGCAAAACTCAATGACAATATTAAAGATGATGACGACAACAACAACGATGATGATGATAATGACATTGATCATGAAGACTCAATGATCTCTCCTAGTGATTTGATTTTGCATCAAGAATATAACGATTTTCAATCTCAATCTCCAACATCATCAAACTCATTTTCAAGAAAGAGATCAAGGGTTCATCAATACTTGATTTGCCATAGAGTCTTTTCATCTGGACAAGCCTTGGGCGGACACAAAAGGTGTCATTGGCTAACATCGAGTTTGCCAGAGACTACCTTTATACCTGCTTTTCAAGAATTTCAATATCACAACCAAGAACAATTACTATACAACAAGCCTTTATTTATCAACTCTCATCGACCACTAGACCTAAATTTTCCAATACAACTAGGCAATCCAATTGAAGTGGGCTTGAAACTACACAATGATACATTTGAACATGAAGGCCCAAGAAGCCAACTCCAACTATGGAAAGACGATATTAATCAAAATCAAAATCATAACTACAAAGATTTTTTGTGTAGGGATGAAAATAGGAAAGTCAAAGAAGCAAAATTGAGTAACCTAAAAGATGTGAATTTGGATAAATGCTCTTCTTGGTTACAAGTAGGAATTGGTCCAACTCCTGATATTTTAGCAACCCTATAAAGATAGAAATGAAATGCTAATCAAATATTTATACCTTTCGTTTCAATTTATACAAAAAATATTATGGGATGTTACAACGTTTGAATATTTTAATAATACTAATTAGTGAATGATGTTTCATTTTTTCTTTTATTATGTTTCACATAATAAAAAATATATTTTACTTTTATTACATAAAGAGAATTTATTCATAGCTAAGAACCAAAAAAAGACGGTAAAGTTACATATTGCCAACGAAATTATATTTGAAAGATTTAATCAGTCAAGTCTTTATTGCGATATTAGTGTGTTTCTAAATCATTTGCTTATAACGCAAAATTATATTATATTAATTCTTCCCTATGATGAACAATTGTGTTTATATCAAAGAGAAATATTTTATGTACTATGGAATGTGTTGTAGCGTTTTATGTGGTCTTTGGAATAATGTAACCTTTTGATATAGTGTATTGTTTTTCTAGGATTTAATTTGTTTAGTTAACATCTTATAAATTTGTGTATATATGTCTCTCTTTTATTTACTTTATAATTTAAGTGAATGTCAAGCACAAAGAGAGTTTCACTACCATACAAGAGATTGTCAATATAATATTTTTTTAGCAGTAAAACTTTTTTGCGTAAAATTATTGAGTTAATGTTACGATCATATTTAAATTTACTAAAATCTTTAGCCACATTTATTTATAGTGTTATATTTATTATTGTCTCTAAATATAATATTACACTAATGCTTTTTGATGCAATGGAAGACATAAATATTGTTTCATGGACTTCTACAATTATGGGATTTGCCTTGCAAGCACTTGAACTTTTTCAACATATGGTATATTAAATGGAAATTAATCCCAATGAAATGATAAAGCTAGAAATAGGAAATAACATTCGTTTAAAAATTCCAAAAATTGATATTGTTTTCACTTAAAACAATATTGAAGATTGTAAAAAAATAATTTTACTTCTTTTAGAAGTAAAGATATTTTAGAACTTTGAATTGGTTAACTCAATTTTTGAGATTAATAAATAAAGTTTTTATAGTATCATCGAAAGTTAATGTATTGTAAACACATGACTGGTATCCTATCCTATTAAATAGAATTAGGTCTTTGTTTTATATCATTGAAAGTTTTATTTTATTTAAGAGTATTACACGAAAAACAACAAATATGTGAAAATAAAAAACACAAATTTAAATTATTATTCTTTATATATATATATATATATAAGGATTCTTATTAAAATTTTATTTTAAATTATTAATTTTATTGAGACATTTTTGACCTCGTGGGCATCAATGTTTTTCAGCACCATGAAACCACATAATTGTCATTCAATACAAAACGGTACACAAAATTTTTTTAACCAAAATAAAAGCGTTGCAAATTCTATCTACCTCCTTGCTGGCCGTCTGAAGCCGCGACGCAGCCTCTACCCGTAGTTGGAATAGGATGACGCATGAAGATCATTTGTGTTTAAGACAAACATTCTAATTCTCATGTAACATAAATTGGTAATAGTTTATCTTGTAATTTAATGACTTATGGCAGCTCTTTGCAGTTTTACAAAGGCTTTTTCAAATTTGACAAGAAATTTAGGAAATTGAGAATGAGCTGGGTCAATGTCGATACAATTGGAAAAATTACGCGGCGAAATAAACTTATGTATTATTTAGTTTTAGAAAAATTTACGCGATGAAGTAAACATATACTATTTAATTATTAATCATACTAAAAGTTTGTTATAATTTTCATTCGCGACTAACATTATACATTAATTGCATGAGCTGACTTAAAGTCTGTATATTTAGTCACGTTTGTATATATATAATTCGCTAAAATATACAAATACATATGTATAGTATACAATTATTTAGCCTATATATTTATAGAATTCACCTATCTCCCACTCTCTGCCCTCTCTCGCTCGTCTTTCTCCTCCTTCTCCCGATATCTCTCCCACTCTCTGCCCTCTCTCAATCTCATTTGTCATATATACAAATGTATATGTATAATATACAATTGTATACATACAATTCACCTCTCTCCCACTCTCTATCCTCTCTCGCTCGCCTCTCTCCTCCTTTTCTCAATCTCGCTCGCCTCTCTCCATCATATAGCATGTAGCTATGAATTATAATTATCAAACTATAATTGTGGAGAGTAGTTAGGTTATTATTAAGTGGCGTAAAAGTTTCCCTACTATCTATGAGTTCTATTTGTGAATTGAATTTCTAATTTATTATTTGTGAATTGAATTTCTATTTTGTTTCAACTAGCTATTAATGGGAGTAGAGGTACGAAATCGAATCGAAAATCGAATTAAATTATAAATTGAAAAAAATTTGACTAGTGATTTGATATTGAAAAATAAAACCCGATTATATTCGGATTGGTTTGATTTCAACTAAAAAACAACCGAGATTAAACCAACCTGATATTATATATATAATTTTTAAAATTTTATTATATAAGTAAAAGTATTTACTTTGATATAATTTTTAAATATTTCATATATTTTTTCATAGTTTTTATCTTTTAATATATTTATTTCATGTTTGAAAAATATAATTTTATCTTCAATTTTAACTTCATAAATTTCAAACAAAGTAAAAATATTTGAAATTTATAATTAAACACTACTTAAAATAATCAATATATGATATATATATATATATACACAATAAAAACAAATAATATTTTCAATAGTGAAACTGATAATAATTAATCACTATGTACAAAACTAGTGTATAATAAATATTATCTTAACACAAATGATTCAGTATTCAGAACTCGAATTTAATACTTTAAATCACTTTACTATGATATTTGTTGGTTACTTTTCGGTGGTTAATTAACCCCTCACCACAGTGAACTTTTGATTATTTTTTTTTAAAAAAATGTCATGTCAAGTAAAGTGAAAAATGGAAAAAGATTGGGGTCCTTTTGGTAATTTAGAAGTAGATTCTGGTACTTATATTATCTGTCACAGACGGAGAAAAACTACTTGTGCAGACTTCAAGTAGACAAATCCATAAAGGCATTTTTGATGGAGAGAGAACAAAACAATGGCATTTTTTAAGGTATCTCTTTTAATTATACACAAAATGAATTCTTAATGTAATAAAAAGAAATCAAAGACACCAGCTGGATATGGTAAACAAACAAGTAAACGTTACTTAAACTTTTCAAAAATATAATTAAACTAGTTTGAATTCTCAAAAATTACATATTTATAAAGAATTTGACATGTAGGAATGGTGTTGCCCTTGCTCAAGCGGCGTTAAGTGATACCCTTTTGTCAAAAAATATATAAAATTGAGAATTTTGATTTCATTTTCATGTTATATTTGATGTCGACAATCTCTTAACTCAAAATAGAAAAGCTCTCAATTATTGAGTGTTCGATTGTTCATCCTCGCTCCATCATTGTTGTATATACAAAAAATATTTTTTAAAAGTTCGAACAATACGGCCTCTTAACAGTAAGTTGAAAACTTAGCTTTGATATTTTCAAAGACACCAAAACTGAACAAAAGGTTCTTGTACCACAAGCAATACTCATAAGCATCTTCTAAGTAGCTAATAAACCAAAAGAGCACAAAAATTGTGATAATATTATATAAAATTCATTCTTTTCTTCTGTTTCACTACTAGTTTATTACTACTACCCCTGCAATAGTTGGTCCCCCACCCCACAGTACTGTATCAATTGTTTGTATTTTGCAACTAATTTTTCAGATTGCTTGTGAAAGTTTCAAAGCAATGTGTGTTACAAGTTACAGGTACCTCCCCAAAACAAGAGCAGCTAAAATGGGACTAAAGATCATAACTTCTAACACAAATAAACAAACCCAAAAAATGACTACACACAATTCTTTAACCTCTCATGCAAATTCTTGTTGAAATTCATTGTCTTCAATTGGTGCTGGCATGTTTAGATCTATGAGCCTATTTGGTAAATTAGCTGAGCTTGTTGATGAACAGGAACCTGACATTGTTGATGAACTCACAACAACAATAAGATGTGATCTTTTATGACCACCTAATGCTTGACCTGACTGAAAAAACTTGCCGCAAAATGGACATTCATGCAATTTCTCATTCACATTACTAACAAGTTTTAGTTTCTTCTTCGATGATATTTTTCGCGGTTGCTCCTCTACTTCATGATCGTCGTCGTCGTAGTTGTTTCTGTTTTTGTGAATGGTTTTATGACTACCTAAAGCTTGGGAAGTTTTGAACACTTTGTAACAAATCCCACATTGGTGTTGTTTTGGGTTTGATTTTGAATCTCTTGATAGCATCAGTAAACACATAGCAATATCTGAATCATCCGAGTACAAATTCAGCGATCTGAAATCAGATATGTTTTCATTCACTTTGTTGATTCGCTCGTGATTTCTCTTACATCTTCTTCTCCGATTTTCTGTGTTTTTTTCCGACTCAGTATCACTTTCTCTATCTAAAAACTCAGGATCTATCATTCTATAGCTTTTCTTCCGATTTTCCCTCAACTCATAGTTAAAATCCTTCTCTTCCACCATCTTATCTTCATGATTTTCCGATGAACAGAGCGATAAAGTTGACTCACTCCGGCCGCCGGAATCTGGATTTAACGGCGGAGTTTTAGGTGGAAGTGGTAGAGGTATTAAATGAGACCTCATATGACCACCTAAAGCTTTTCCATTTAAGAGTTTTTTTGAACATAGCTTGCATTTATGCTTCTCCATAACTATAACAGAGCAGAACAAAGATTAGCAAATTTTAGGAGAAAAAGTTGAAGAAGAGAAGTAGAGTGGGAGTGGGAACTTAAGCTTTTTAAGAGGAGTAGGTGACAAGCATTCCTCAACCAAAGAGAAAGAGGTTACAACACTATGATCCAAAAATTTTGGTCTAATAAAATTTATGATAAAATTATCTAGATTTACAATTTATTTATTACACTCCATTGAAAACTAAAAAAATTGCTTCTTTTTTTAAAACATAAAAATAGAATTTTGGTGCATTTAGCCAAGATTTTTAGAAAAAAATATCATACAAGTTTAAAATACGATAACATATAGAGGTTGTTTCTAAAAGAATGTCGGCTCATATAAGTAGAAAAAAAATAATGTAAAAAAACATATTTTTAAAAAGTGACAAATGTTGTTTTTTTAAAAAAATAATTTCTTTTAATATTAATTAAAGTAACTTTATTTTTCAAATTGATTAAACGAATAAAATTATACTCCTCAAAATAATTAGCAAATTTTGATCAAATAAGTTATTTATGAACGAAAGTATGGAACACCTAGAGAAAGATAAAAAAAAAATATGCATTTAATTTTAGATATTTTTTATGTTTTATTTGTAATAGAGGTAAAAATGAAAGGATTTTTTATATACAAATGTGTGATTTGAATATTTCATGGGAAGACAAAATGGGGCAATTTAATATAATTTTAAGCAAAGCATGATCATAAGTGGATAAAGGACAACTAACATGCACATGCTGCCTTATGAAGAAACTTTTCCTTTTTTTTTATTTTCATTTATTACTTTTACCTTTATATTTATTTTTGTACTATGTCTTATTTTTCTTGTCATTTATTCTTGCAATTTTATTTGAAAGCATTTTTTAAATTAACTTCTCTACTCGAGAAAAAATAAAAACAGGATATGTGTATATATTATTTTTTCTAAATTTTATTTGTGAGATTATAATTGCGCTCCATAGCAAACATAAAACTGTATAATTTGCTATACATATATAATTGTATAATTCGCTGGCCTAAATTGTATAATTTGCTGGCATATTTCGCTGCAATTGAATAATTCACTATCATATTTCAATGGAATTGTATAATGCATAATTGTATAATTCGGTGCCTATTTCGCTGCAATATTTTTATAAAATTTGCTTTGCATACAATTGAATCGGATTAAAATGTGTGTATATTGCATAATTATAAGTGTATAACAAAAAGATATATGTTTTTCTCTCGCTTTATACAAAAACAGAAATACAATATATACACTTCTGTTGTATAAAGTTAGAGAAAATTGTGTTTCACTGCAATTGTATAATTCGTTGGCCTTTTTCTCTACAATATTTGTATAAAATTTGCATTTTTCTACAATTGAATTGAAGTAAAATGTTTGTAAATTGTATAATTAAGTGTATAACACGAAGATATATGTTTTTGCATGTATACATACAATTTTCTCTCGCGTTATACAAAACAGAAATAGAATTTATACGCTTTTGTGTATAAAGCGAGAGAGGCGAGCGAGAACGGGAGAGTAGCGAGCGAGATCTTGGGGAGAGAGGCGTCTGGCAAACTTTGGCTAACATTTGCTATGGAGCACAATTAAATCAAATCCTAGCTACTCCATTTATTTTAGGTTATTAGTTTGCTATTATATATACCATTTTTCCTTAGTATATCATATTTAATATTATTTTTATACTTTTTATAAAATGATCACGTTACTTTTTACTTTTTATCAAACAACCACTACGTTATGCAAAAAATATTTCATTATTTATATTTTCTTTCTCGTTTTAACTTATCTAGTACTCTGAAAATATAATACTACATTAATATGGATATGGCTAGCTTATGCAATGCTTACTAACTAGAAGTCAAATAAATTGTTGAGTTTGTTGTAACTATAAATCTTTATTTTCTTTTCTCTTTTACCTTTCAATTTCTTTTTACATTCATACAAAAGAAAATCAAATATCAAATTCAAAGAAGAAAAGGTTCTTCCTCATGACTAATTTCTACTCAATTTTTTTTAATTACAAACGTTAATATAGTACCTTTTTATAGCATAAGAATTGATTCAACTTTATTTGTCTTAGTTTCATGAAGAAAAAAAATCATTTATAAAAAAGTATATCTATGTAGAAAATTAGGTGAGTCTAACATATAGTATGCATATATAAAGAAAAAATCAACCTAGCTAAACAGTGTAATTTTTCATAAAGGAGTGACTGCACTTATTGGTACATGGTACACCAAATGAATATTTAGTATAGGAATCTAAGTTTGATTAAACATAATTTTGTAGCAACACCCGATACACAAGTAGTACTCCAATTATTTACAAATTCTAGATACGCCTCTCCTGCTGATGGATGGAAAAATTAATCTACCTAAGTTTTTAGTCCGTGATACAAATAAATGTGTTCTAATCTTTGAAATGTATTTGTCGTGCATCACACAATCACATGCTTGATTTTGCTTAATCCCAATATCTTTTTTTATTCTTCTTCCTCTTTTCACGTTTAAATGTTTCTCAAAAGATAAACGTGAAGGCCAATTCACATTTTAATGTCAAATTAAATTTTATGGAAGTGTGTCATTTGTAGTCCGTCCACTCTTCACCAAAGCCTCAAGTTCAAATTTTATATATGAAAAAAAAAAACTTAACAATAGTATTTTTCCATTAAAACAGATCAACAACATGATAGAAGATTAATCATCAGAGCACGTATCGAACATCAGATAAAAAAATAAATTATACTATTTAATACTTTGGTAAAGTTTAAAGTGGAGAGCTAAAAATGAAATGGAGAAAATATTTTTGTGTATGCAAGTTTCAATGCAAAAGCAATGTGACTTTAGTCCTTTTTTGCAGAGCAGAGAGGCTGTGCAGTGATAGTACTAAAGACACTATTCAATGCTTATTCGGCTGGTAATGCTTCTTGTTTCTTCAAGGTTTGAAATAGTTTTTCGGTCTTCCTTTTTTCGTGTTCGATATCTGCATTGAAGTTTGATTAACTTTGAATTCGCATTTAAAAGTTTCATATTGAGAGTAAAGTACTCTCTAACAAAGGTCAAGACCTCTTGATTAAGGATAGAGTACTTACTAATCCACCACAATCCTTGTTAATGTTTCTCTATCGTTACACATATTGAAATTTAATTAAATTTGAATTTGTACATTACAAAACTCATTTTTGAGTAACACCTCCAAATAAATTTTTCCATTCTCATAACTCCAAATTTGAAAGAATTCATATTTTTTCCACCGTAAGTCACATTGATAAGGTGAAAGGGACTGCTGATACACTTTTATTGTTGCAGAACTAGTAGTACTACTCTAATTCGAATTAAAAAAAATAAAATTCCACTATTTTTGAGAACATATATCACAATAGTACAAGTTTAATACTGCAACTAAGATTTTCCATGATTGAGAAGTAGCTCCTCCTTTATGTTGCAACTACTGAATTTTGTTTGATATGATTTTTTATGTTTCAAAAATATTTTAAATTTTATTGACTAATATAACTTGGGAAAACATTTTACATAGTTTTTAAATAAATATAAAAATTTCATTCTAAATTCACAGCTCAAAATTTGAACTCTTAAATGATGTCACGCAGCTTGCTCGGAAAATTTTACTATTAATATGTTAAAAATGAAATATATTGACAAAACAACATTTATATGCGTCATGATATATATTTACTTGTTGGTGAGTCTTGACCATGATGTATTTAAGACATAATATATAAACATGACTCACTTAGACGTTAGTTGGCAACTATAACCCTTAACTTTAGATATGCACCAAGCAGACACTTGAACTTGTACAAATAGAACAAATTGACACGTGTGTCTACATGTTCAATTTTATACAAGTTTAAGTGTCTACTTGTGCACATCCAAAGTTAAGGATTATAGTTGTCGACTGACGCCAAGTTAAGAGTCATATTTATGTATTATGGCTATATTTAAATCTTGTCAAAGGAACATGTATCATTTGCCATCATAAAACTAGAACCAACTTAGAACTCTTTGAGTGATTAAAGGAAAGAAGTATATCTCTACAATATCTTCTGATTAATAATATCTCCTAAATTTTCTAATAGATTTGCAAATGCAAAACGTTTCCTACCAACAGCTCAACCTTATACTTGAGACGTTGTATAACCCAAAAACTAACAAGTATGAGTAAAGGGAAACCTCAAGCAAAGCTTTCTTCCAACTTGTTATCGAGAATTTCCGCAACTAACATGTACTTACTTTCCCTGACCTGTACAACATGATTTGGAGGTAGGAGACTATTCTGGCTTGCCGTCGCCACTTCTCAAAACCCATGCTGATTTTTCTGAATGACATAGTTCCTTCATAACCTGCACAAGCATAAAAAATTATTTACCATACAGCAAGTCTTTCCTATAATATATCAGGAATTAGACAAAAGCAATGAAGCTTCTGCAAAAATTTCAGAAAAACCATTGCAATATGACCGACGACAATATTTCACACTGGAGCTCAAAGACCTACAACCAGTAGGAGTCAATGTAAAGTTGGGTGAGATTAGTTGTACTATGGTTTTGTGATGTTGCCACACAACATTAGGATTTTAAATACCGAAGGAGGAGTATTTCATTGCTTGACTAATTCAAAATTGAAATCACTACATCAACTACAATAATGTCAAAAAATGATATTCCTTAACACTCATTACAAGAAAAGAACTACTCACCTTTAGAAACTCAACATTGGTAATATCCCTATTCAGTTGCAACTTGGCAGCTTCAGTTACAGATGCTTTCTTTAGCTTGGCACTTGGTCCTTCAGCCATAAAAAGATCAATTACGATTTTCCTGAGAACCAACATTATGTATTAGTCATAGGCCTAGGTGTTCATCAAGCAGTTTTACTTATAATACAATGGTTACTAACCTCAATGTGTCATACTGTGGATTATCTGGTGACGACTTCAAAACATAGACACCATGGATGTTCACAGCAACCTGATTAATCACTGCCTGTATCTCCTCTTGAGGTGCATCAAAAACATCAACGGATGCAGTTATAGCTTTCCTTGGAGCTCCCTTTGGAGGATATGACTTAGAAACTCCAAGTTTTCGCAGACCTTGGCGGATTTGTTGGAAACTGGCA